GATGTGGAGCAGCAGCTGCTCTACTCTGAGCCCCTCCCGGATGGCCGAACTTCTCACCCTATCTCTAAGGGAGAGGCCAGCCACCCTGTAATAATATTCAACATTGCTATCAATACATTTTTCAAAAAATGCCTCTCTGTGCAAAATATTTCATGCATTGAAGTCTTTGTAGCACTGTGTCTATGGACCCCTAACATGCCAGTTTAATTAAACAGTTGTTAAAAAGCTCAGGGTTTTAAGTGTTATATGTAACAAATCTCTTCTTTAAAACTCACACAGTTTGTCATATTTTCTCTCTCAGGTCTGAATGTCCACAGCATGCTGAAACATGAAGCCATCGTCCTCACTTTGGAAAAGGTTAAGTTTCTGGCACGATGAACGTTACACGCCTCTCTACCCGTTTAAACTAACCTACTCTGACTTTCCTTAAAGAGTGACCTGTAACATATTAACTGAGTTAAGTGAGTCACATTTTCTTTGTTTTTATTTTTTGTAACAAGAAAGTCAATAATAAATAACTCCAATGATAAAAAAAAAGCAAAAGTTTAATAAAAATATGTAAAAACAACATGCAGAGTGTAATCATTTGTATGGAAGGAGACCACTGGCCAAATCATTCCTGATCTTCCAGCGAAGTGCTGACCGTTTCTTCTCTGTTGGCACGATGTAGGTGTTGGGTACGTAAACTCTCCGAGGTTTAGGCTGCAAAGACGAGGGATAAACTGTTTAACCACTAAAGCTGATCACTTTCGGATGTTCTGAGTCTCCAACTGTGATCTATGCAACAGCAGGCTCAGATATGTAAGCCACTTAAACAGTTGAGAGACGTTTTGTGTAGATTTTTGATCTCAGTTCTTTACACATCAAGTTAAAGGAAAATTTAGCTCTGTTTGGCAAGTGACCGTTGTGTTTGTTACACGTGGTCAAAGAGATTCAAATAGAAATCTTACTCTGAACACAGTTCTACCTTTATTTACCCTTTAACACTTCTCAGAACATCCACACTCTCCTATAAACAGCTGCCCATTGTGTTCTTGGAAAATATTTGCAGAATGTGTAAAGATCCAAAGATAAGATCCAACCACAGAGGGTTAAGACTTTAAAGGACGGAGATAAAACAATAAACTCTTGTTTCAGACAAAATCTGAAATAAAGAGCTGCAGGTCATTGCACTTGGGACATATTTGCATTTCTTACAAATTCGTCCATGAAATAGATGTACACTACCAGTCAAAAGGTTGAACACACCTTCTCATTTCATGTTTTT